CAGGGCTTCTGCTTTCCCCAGAGAGATTCTCTATACAGCTCCTAGCAAGCCACCATTTTTTTCTCAGCAAAGGCAATTCTAAGCAGCAAAGGTAAGGCTGGAGGCATTACAATCCCTGACCTGAAGTTCTATTACAAAGCTACTGTCTTAAAATCAACATGGTACTGGAATCAAAACAGAGCTGAAGATCAATGGAATAGATTAGAAGATATAACCACAACTACAAACACACTCAGCCACCTTATATTTGATAAAGGGGCCAAACATGTTCACGGGAAGAACAGTCTCTTTAATAAGTGGTGTTGGAAAACTGGCTCTCCGTATGCCAAAAACTAAAACTAGATCCATGCTTATCACCATATACTAAGTTAAATTCTAAATGGATTAAAGATCTGAATATTAAAACAGAAACACTAAATCTATTGCAAGACAAATTGAGTAAAAGCCTTGAAGACATAGGGGTAGGTAGAGAATTCATGAACAAGAATCAAACCACACAGGAAATACTTCCCAGAATCAATAACTCGGATCATGTCTTATTTAAAAGTTTCTGCATGTCAAAAGAAATCTCCAACACAGTGAAAATAAAACTCACAAACTGGGAAAAAAATCTTAGTGAACTCCTCTTAAGACAAAGAAATTCTGTATAAAACATATAAAGAATTTTTTAAAAATCATGCCCCCGAAATTCAAAGACCCAATCCAAACGTGAGCATCCAAGAGGAATACATAGTTCTCAGATGAAGAAATACAAATGGCAAATAAATACATGAAAAAATGTTCATCATCATTACTCATTAGAGAAATGCAACTTAAAACAACACTGAGATTCCTTCTCATTCCAGAAAAAAATGGACAGGATCAAGAAAACTACCAACAACAAATGTTGGAGAGGCTGTGGGGAAAAAGGAACATTCCTGCACTCTTGGCTGGGAATTTAGATTGATACAACCACTATGGAGATCAGTCTGGAGATTCTTTAAAAACCTGAGATTGGAAGTCCATTTGACCCAGCTATTCTTCTTCTAGACATATTCCCAGAAGAACTGAAAACATCATACCACAGTGATATATGTGCAACCAGGTTTATAGCAGCACAATTTGTAATCGCCAGATCTTGGAAACAACCTAAATGTCCATCAACTGAGGAATAGATAAAAAAAGATGTGGTATTTTTATACAGTGGAGTACTACTCAGCTATAAATAATGATCACATTGAGATATTTATAAATAAATGGACACAACTTGAGAGATCATACCCATAAGCGAAATAAATCATACTCACATGTATAAATACCAAGTAGCCTCCCTAGTGTAAGAAAAGGTAAGAGCACGTAAGAGTTTATGGTAATCACGATTCCCCATTACGTTACTTTGAAGACTTATAATGTTTTCATTCATTAGTTGGAATGCTTTTATTGTTTTATCTGATTTTATTATCTGTGATGGTATGAACAGCTATTTTGAAGAAAAGAAGACATTATGATAGCCATTGGTGATTTAATATCACCTTGCTTTGAAGTACTACCATGCTTTTGTTCTTCTGTTTCCATTGTTTCTATCATGTTGTGTCTTATTGGATTTTAATATGTGTGATAGTATAAACAAAATTTTTATAGAATATTAGATAATATAGTAGCCATTGTTCATTTTTGATTATTTGGTTCTGTAGTCCTTGTAATACTTTCATTTTCTTAAATGATTTTATACTATTTTGTTATGTTTGATACTATTTTATGTGAAGGTATCCTCACCTATTTCAAAGAAAGAGACATTATGGTAGCTACTGTTAATATTAGGTTATCTTGTGGTGAAGTACTGTGTTGCTTATTTTGTTCTGTTCTGATCTGCTTTGTTCTGTCTTCTTTTGTCTTAATCTCTTTAAAATAAAGAAGAAATAAATAAAAAAGAAATATACATGGGATTCTTCTCACACAGGGCTTCTAAAATTCTTGTAGTTATCTGAGTCAAAGTGTGGTAAGTATAACTTTTGTTATAATACTTTGATTTTAGTCCTTATGCAGATCTTCTAATACCTTGAAATTTTCTTGGTAAAACCACAATATTAAGTGAAATAAATCAAGCCTAAATAGTACACAATTTCTGCTGTGCAAGGGACCCAACATATAAATAAGGTAAAAGTGAGGATATCAGCTTTTCAATTAAGAAGGGGATCTATAATTGGGAGGGGAAAAGAGATGAAACAAGAATCATAATGTATGAGGTACATGGAAGAATTCCCCACAAGGAATGTAATCATTGTTTATGGCAAAAAAGAATTTATTTTAATAAGACTATTAAAAATTAACTTTATGATGCAGCATTCTGGGTGAATTCCTGAACAGAGAAGGCTGAAGGGATGGCTGTCTAAAGACCAAGCTGAGATTAAAAGCTTGGAAATTTCTCCTTCTACAATCTCGTCTGGACTGGGACAGGAACTAGAGATGAAGTTAACAATCAGTCACAACCCAAGTGTAAACTAAACTGCAAGGTTTAGAAAGCTTATGAATGGCTGCTCAGGGGGAGGTTCCTTGCTTTGGTCATCCTGGGGAGGGCATGGTAGTTCCATGACAATTTACACATCCCTTCCATTGTCTGTTCACCTGCATCATTTATAATAAGTCAAACATAGATAGTATTTCCTAGAGCTCTATGAGCTGTCTTGAAGGCAGAGTCAGTGTCAGCTAGAGAACTGGGTTTGGTGGGAAAGAATTTCACACATTTTGGCCACAAAAATGCTCTGCTTTGTGTTGCCTGTGTAAGAAAAGTGTCCACATAATATACATGATTTTTTTTTCTGTTCTTCAAAGTTCCCAGTGTTTATTTTAAAACATTCTTTTCCCTAATCAGAGTATAAAAGCAAAATGTAAGGCATAAACATTCATATGACACATTATATAAGGACTTCACTCAGATTTTTTCAGTTCTCCTGAGTGTCCTATGTAGCAAATGCATTTAGTTATTGTTTCCTTTAATCTAGAACAATTTATCAATATTTCTTTGTCTTCCATGACATCAACAGTTTTTAAGTGTACAGGCCAGTTTTAGGGTTTTGAAATTTGGTCTTTGGTTTTGTTTGTATATTTTTGGTTGAATGTCTGTCAATTTACTTATGTCTGATACATCTTGATGATTAGATCAGGTGATACATTTTAAGCAAAGATACTGTGTTCTAAACTTTTCTTATGGAGTGGTGGAAGACATTCCCTTTTCCTTGTGATTGATTATACTTAATTTTGGTTAATTAAATTTGTTAAATTTGCTTCATCTCTTTGTTTAGTTTAGACAGACTTATGTACTATGCAGTTATTTTTTTCTGTTCATATTTATTGAGCTTATAAGAATATAAGCTTATTTTTCCATCCCTTCCTCCAGTCATTTAAGGATTAACTCAAATGTTTCTTCTTCTATCAAACTTTTCCACTGTATGCTTGTCCAGCTAAGACTGACTTCCTTATAATGTTCATTACATTGAAAAGTATCTATTTCTTTTTCTAGGTCACTTAACAGGTGATAAGCTTGTGTATTCAGGGACTTTATTTTATTCATTATTTATTGCTCTAGAAAAGGAGAAGCTTCCCAGTAGTTGTTAATTTAATAAAGTAGCAAATAAAAATGACTTCTTAGGGAAAAATGGAGAGGCATTAAGCATTTCCATTTTACAAAATCAAGATCAGCACAGTGTGATTAAAAAATATTATAGCAAGTTCTGAACCCAGCACATATTCAACCTATAAACCTTATTTTAGTTGAGCCTAAAAAGTTAAGTATCTTAAGAAAAAGGAAGAAAAAAACTGTTTTATATCTAGTTTCCAAATCTAAACTGTATTTAAAAATTGTTTCTGAACAGCCAATAGCAATTAGGCAGCAGCTAGTGAAACAAAACTGCTATGAAACAACCAAGTCCTAACTTAGAGTCCTAAAACAGTAAGCCATGCTCTCTCAGAAGAATATAAGGTTATCTGGGGTCAGCTGATCTAGACTGAGCTCTGTGAGGTTGGATACAAGCTTCTCTTTAGATCACTTATACTCTGCTTGTCTTTCACACTTCTTGGATCAGCAGAGGCCACCCAATATCAGAACAATAGGGACAGGCCATGACACGCAGTGCCTCTGAAGACTCAGACTCAGAACCAATACACTGTAACCAACTCCCCACAGTTGAGTATCCGGAACAAATAACACAGCCAAGCTCACCCTCACTGTGCCAGGAAAATGGCAAAGGATGTGGATATTAGATAGGTCAAGAATTGAGAGAAGTAATGAGAATGATGCAATCTACAGCAGGAATAGGTATAAGCAAAGGTCACCTTGATGAAGGACACAACGAGATTGCAAAGCACCTGAGAGATCTCTCAGATGCCTGCCTGGTTGAGGAGAAGCAGGTGTATCTACACGGCATGTTCTGGATTCCCCTATGTATGCCCCATTCTCTTAGCTGAATCTATATTCTCAAATAAATAAAAAGGTCCTGTGTTTGCCAGTGACCACAAACATATACAACCTCATGCATTTAAACATTTTATTTTTCATATGTCCACAGTACTTTATATTTTCATTGTGAGATTAAAAAGTCACACAGTGAGAAAAACTATGAAAAAATGACAAGCAGTAGACTAATGTCATATTAGTATGACCATTATTTGCAGATCAATCTAGATAACAGGATGATGTCCATATCTAGAGCATTGGAACACCCTCTCTGGGTTGAGTCACAGTATTTATATTAGCTTATCCTAGATTAGAGATGTCAACTCTATAATTTCTGTGATTCTAATTTTCTAATACAAAAACAAAAGAAAGTTTGAAAAACACAATCGTATGGTTTAATCTTCAGTGTCCCCCCAAAGGCCCTTGTATTGTGGTCTTGGTCCCCAGCTTACCACTATTGGGAGGTGGGGGATACTGGCAAGTGGGGAGGTCTTCAGATACTGAAACATGCACTTGAAGAGGACCATGGATGTGTTGACTCTTATTTTTTCTCTCTTTCACTTCCCAGGCATGATCTGAACAGCTTTGCCCTTCCTGTGCTATATACCTTCTCCTTGCAGCTGAGACCTAAGAGCAATGGATCTGTTCTGCATGAATCAGAAGCTGCAAAACTGAGAGGAAAATAAAATTTTTCTCTTTATAAGTTGATTATCTCAGGTATTTTTTAATATAGTAACAGAGCTGTCCAACACACACACACACACACACACACACACACGCACACGCACACGCACACACACACACACACAAATTTTTCCCTACAGTGCTAGTTTTTAACAAATACCTTAATACTGAATGCTATTTGAAGTATAAAGCATATCTTCAAATACAATACAATAAAGGAATAAGTATAATAAATTTAGGTAAATTTCACTAGTGTCTCTTTATCTGCTTTATAAAAAGCAGATACAAAATCTTTATTCCATTATTAAAGACTGTAACTACAAAGGTCGTGGTAGGTGTTTATGGTTGTAAGGATGCTTTTTTGGAGCCTATTTTTTCCTTCATAGTATGAAGAATTGAACCCAGGGAAGACTTAAGACATCTAAGCCCTTTTTAAAATTTTGAGATAAGATCTTTCTAGATTGCCCAGGCACCCCCAAACTTTTTAAACAGCTGAAATGACAGACATCCTCCTGTGCCCTTGACTAATTGCTTAGTTCTGTATATGAGAATATGAAATGAATACTTTGCAAAATAGTAATATCAAAGAGAAAAACACAATCGAACTGTAATTTGACAGTTTTATCAGAAAAAACTACTATTACTGGATTTGAAACAAAGTATAAAAGATAATTTGCTATACTGTGTTAAAAAGTAAAAGAAAATAGTCAAAGCAATGAGACTATCGATTATAAACTCAGCAAAGATGTTTACTATCATTATGGGTTCAGTCACCCCAAAGTAAAATACATACACATTAAATGCCATCAACTTAAATATTTATTTCTGTAATGCTAATATTCCATTCTGCATATTATCGGCCAACTTTTTATTAGCCATTTTTCTCTGCTTTCTTTTCATAGGAATGACTGTGTAGAATAATGATTTCATGGCTTCCAAGTAGCTCTTATGGACTAGATTGGTCATTGGTAGAACTAAATGCATCTAAATTTGTCATTCTCATATTCACAGATGCTATTCTGAGAGCAGCTCTCTTAAATTCCCTCTTTCTCAATCTGAAATGTTTTCAACAGATACCATAAGCATATGTTCAAACCTGACTTGAAACATCTTCCCCAGATTTCATTTTGGTGATTTGTACTCTACAGCAAACACATCTCACAAATATAATAGCAAGTATAATGTCTACAGTTTGTGAAGGCAGCCAGTTCTTCCCGATTACATCTCCGACTTCGTGCCTCTCTGAAAGTCAACATTAATACCAATCATTGTAAGCATACAGTATCGTTCTTGTCTGGAGCCAAACAGAACTCCAGGGAGAAATGCAGCATGAATAAGAACAGTCTGGCGCTCATTTATAGAGAATTAGATAATGAGCTTCTAGAACTACTCTTTAGATCCCAGAAAGATTGTTTTTTTCTTTATCTTTTTAAAATTCTATACCATTTTCAGTGTGGAGTTTTCAGCTGTTAGACTGTACAGGAATAATGAAAATTACACAAGCCTTTGCTTACCTAGTACTAAGTTTTGTATTGAGGTTTTATTCTCTTCCTTCTTCCCTTCCTTTCTTCCATCCCTCCCTCCTTCCTTCCTTTCTCTCCCCTTCCTCTGTCCCTCCATTTTTCTTTTTCTTTCTTAAATATAATTATGAGACGTAGTTTACTAAACCAGTAGGGTTTTTATACTTTGGTCAGGTTATATGTTGATGATAATGTGATTTCAAATTTGTTTTCACTAAACAAGTGAAAAATACGTAATCTCAAGAGATTCTTTAAGTGATTTTTCGGATAATAATGAAATAATTATATTTTGTCTGTTTGTATTGCTCATCTATACATTTTTTTAAAATATCATGTCTAAAATGCATGCTATGCATCGCTTATTTGCTAATATAATCTTTTCAGAATAAATCTATATGTATTATAAATTTCTTTAATCAAGATTTCTGATACAATATTATTTCAAAATTAAAAAAACAGTAGTCTGTATTTTGGCCTTTTATTGTGGTTAAAAAAACATAAGATATAATTTACCATTTTTTTGTTTGTAAAGGTATATTTTAATAGGGTTAAGTGTATTCATATTGTTATAATACAAATCTCCAGAATATTTTCCTCTTGTAAATCCAAAGCTCTATATTTATTAAACAATTAATTTTTCATCCTCAAGTCCTGATAATTCCTTTCCTCTTTTTATGTGTTTGATTTCCCTACCTACATTTTATAAGTGGAATCATACAATATTTATCTTTCCATGATTGATTTATTTTATTCAATATCATGCTAAATTTATTTATGTTGCAGCATATGATAAAATTCCATTCCTTTTTAAACTGAATGATATTTAATTGTTGGTATAACCCATATATTTTATGAATGGTGCTGCAACGAATACAAATGGGCACAGATTATCTCCTGCAAAGAACAGACCTCATATGCTAGGAACTTGAAAATCTAAGTTGTCTGGACTAAATCTAGAGTACAAAAATGTGTGATGACAAAATATGGTGAATGATGCTCTATTGCCAAGTTTTATCTAAAGCAGGGATCTTCAACAAGAGAAGCAAAATGTGTGATCTTAGTTACAATATTTGACAAGTAGCCACTCATTTGGCTCATTAGGTCGGTTGTGAGCTATGGGTGAGAAGGTATATTTTTAAGTGTGCCGTAAATCCTGAACCATTAACAAAGAATTTCCTTGGACTTTGCTGCTTCAAATTACATCCTATCATCAGAGATGAAATTTGGCTCTATGGTTATGATTCTGAGAACAAACTTCAGTGTTCTCTGTAGAAATCACCCAGTTCTCCTAGTGAGAAAAAAGTATCAGTGATGATCTAATATCAAAAAGTTGTTGATTGTGATTTTTTGACTGTACCAGCTGAGTTTTTAAGCAGTGGTGAACTCTAAATAGTATAAGGGCTCACTAGAGCATTTAAGAGATGATGTATGTAGAAAACAACCTGAGAAATGCGTAAATGGTTTCATCCTCCATCATGACAACACTCCAAGTTACACATCACTTAAGGTACAGTATTTTGTACTAATAAAACATGACAGTTTCCAACTTATTATTATCTGGCATGTAAAATGCCTAACTCTTCCCAAAGACAAAATGACCAAGGAAGGCAGATGTTTTGAATAAATTTAGGACATTGAGGTAGCTCCAACATTCAAGTAGGGATACTCACTTATACACACTCAGAAACAAGAAAACGAACAAGCAAACAAAAATCCTTCCAGCATTGCTTTAGGAAGTGGCAAGAATGATGGGATAAGTATCTTCAAAATGAGGGAAGTATCTTGACTGGGATTGATGGCAACAAGTCTTTTATTGTAATAACATCTTACTAATCACTAAAGATTCACTAATGTTTGATCACGCTTCGTATTTTCTCAATAGAGTAAAATATTCAAGATTAAATATCTCAATCTACAACTAGTAACTGAGAGTGAAATCTAGTTTTATATATATATCAAGTTAAAATGTGTTATTTTAGGTTCTGCATGTTTCATAGAGAAACATATTTTTATAGCACTTGGGAAGGGTTTCTCCAGTGTCTTCTATTTGCCCTGTAGATTATACTGCACCTTGAGTACTGGCCTGGTTGTCCTAAGTGGCTTCCTGATAAGGACTGTTGTTACTTGGCTATGATGTGAAGAATTTCAAGGTATAAAGATGCACTCCAGGAACTCAGTTCCTCGCTGTGCCCCCTGAAGTCATCCACTAATACTCTTTTCCTAATCATAGCTGTAATCAGTGATTAAATTTAATGAGTTTGCCATAAGATGAAAATAACACCAAGGATGAGCTAGCCTAAATGGTATTCAGAGAGGTGCTTACACTCACATAGTGTCATGATAAATGTTCATGTAGACATGATATGACTTGTATTATATCTGCTCTCTTGCTGGTTTCCTTTTTTAGATCACCAATTCTTGTGAATGTATTCTACGGTTTATTGAACTCAGTGTTTCACATGTGATATTACTGCTAGTTAGCTGTGATTTATATTAACAAGAGTAGAACACGAAATTTGGAACAAATTTTAAAACCATTAAAATTTTGCAAGGTTAATGATCTATAACACATATCTCTTTTAGTCATTATGGATAGCAAACTACTTATGAGGAGACTCTAACACAAATCCTCTTTAGAAAGTTGTAAAAGCAAGTGATGCTTGAGCCCTTCAAACATCAGGTTTACCCTCATGAGTAACATGCATTCCTAATTAAAAAGTCATTTTTTATAAAACGGTTCATCTGCTACAAAGAAGTGATATTACTAGGAGGCATTTCTTGTGTCTCATGATTAATATAATATATATTGATCTAAAATTGTGCAGATTAATATGTTAACTGAGAATGTTCTTAAGAATGTGCAGTTACTAGAAAAAGTAAAAGCTATTTCTTCAACTCTGAATTTAGTAATAAAACAGTTATTTAGAATCTCATTTACTCTCCCAGGGCAGAATCACCAGGGAGCCACATTTTCTGACAGGAAAAAATCCTGTCTTTACTAGGAAGGTTACAACTACTGTATCATAAATCAAGAAACTTTAATGGGTTGCACTAAGAGAAGCTGCTACAAACAAACAAAATTAAACCACTCTTTGAAGGTAGCTTGTGGAAGCAACTAAATTCATTTGTGTCAGCACGAACTTCTCTCTTATGTGTGCTCACTAAGGCTGTATCAGAAAACCAATTACAGATGTAAGTTCTGCACTATGCTCACTATCACCGAGGATCAGCAAATGTTCTATAAACACTACTCTTTTATCTCATTAATTGAAGAAGCACAAGTCAAAAGGGAACTGTGTTTACTTTTAAAGGAATTAAAAGAAATGTCTGAAAGGATGACTGCTTTATACCAACCTGCTTGCCTTTGAGAAAATGAATGACCTCAGATTTCCATTTGGCATTCAGTTGTATCTCACCAGGAAAATGAAACATTAAGATGTAAGATTGCATCTTGGTTTTATGT